GGAAGAGGCAGCTGAAGTTTCTGGGACACGTAATGAGAAAGAAAGGCCTGGAGAATCTGATTTTACGGGTCAAATAGAGGCAAAGAGAGACAAGGGAAAACAACACATGACATTCCTAGCGGCCTTAAGCAAGTCGATGACAGAAGGTTGTCTGGGGGAGGTGACATGGGGAAGGAACTTGTTAAGAGCTGCAAGGGATCGAGGGAGAAGTGGAGAGCCATGATCGCCTACGTCCTCAAAGGATACAGTAAATAGAAAGAAAGAAATTAAATATCATCTTATTTTTATTTCATTATTTATTTTACGATTCAGAAAAGGGTTTTCATTAACTGGGGGGGAAAAATTGATGATTTAAATTTTCCAAGGAATTCTGTGGATAACTAATATAAACATTAAACGGTACAAAATTAATTTCTCTAAATTTCATAAAATTAAACAACTGTGTCTGGGGGAGGGGGTAATAGATGAAAAACAAAATGTTCCTACGAAGATTTTCTGAAAAGGAAAACGTTTCTAAAAATGATTTCCTTCATTTGTGAATAAGTCGTGAAAGTTTCATCGAAATCTGACTATTATCTGATTTTGGCAGGAATTTCCAAATCTATGATTTTCATCGCAAAAAAAAAAAAGACGATAAAATTTCCTATAGTAATCTTTGGTTCCACCGCAAAGGAAACAAAATTTTTAACCAAAATTTCGAACGTTCTAAAAAGAATAAAACAAAATAATTTAATAATTAAAAAAAATCTTTTTGCCTTTTCTCGTAATAATAACATAATGGTTTTGATAATAAAACTTTGTTTTATTTAGTTTTCATCACAGTATGTTCATTTCTTAGCGAATCTGTGGACGTGTCTAACTTAATGTCGTTCGTCCTATGTTTGATGTGTAGAATTTCCAAATCTATGTGTTTTTCTCTAAAAATAGTTTGGTGAATAGAGTAGAGCAATAGTATAGACTAGAAATAGTGATCCAAATAGTATAGAGGATAGAAGAGAAATGGACACACACTACCTCCCATATATGCATTTACTCTATGGTCATGTGATCCACCTAATTCAATAATGGGATCGCCTGTGTTTGTTCTCTGGCAATCTATGTTCAATCTCAAGTGTCGGCAGTGACACTTTATTCCTATATAACAAGTAGTATATTGAGTCATTACACTATAATGTTAGCTATCTAATTCAGCCCTTTATATGATATAACCTCAGTACTTAGCTGTTACAAGTATTTCCAAGAATATAAACCTTGCTGGAGCCGAGCCACAAGATTAAACAGGCTCTGTTTCCTAGCAGCAGTGGGAGCCTTTCTGCTCTTGACTAGTATGTCATTGCCATACAAGCAAAATTGGATGAGTGATTAATGTAAACAATACGTGGCGCCAATATGTGAGGGACGCATGGTGAATGTGTTGTATGAATATTACTTTTTTTTTCTTAGAAATTTCTTTCCAATATTAGGGTGCGTCTTCCATGCCGCAGTGTCTTGTAAGCCGGAAAATATGGTAATTCAATCGCAATAAAGGTAAAAATCGAAAATATAGAAACGAAAAAAGATAAAACAATGAATTGATAGCATGACAAAAAAAAAAAAAATATGCGCCCAGCCAGGATTCGAACTCACTTCTCTAATAAATCACTTGCAAACCAAGGCACTACATTAACTCCTCTCAACTATATACGAAGCTTAAAGAAGGCCAAATACATGAGGCAGCGGGGGTGTGAGAGCCGACCAAAAGACAATATTAAAATGTCAGGTTGGAACAATGCAAATGGCGGTTTTGAAGCATATACTTTAAGATGTCATAACTTGGCTCAAACACAATTTGTCGAAGTTAATACCATTAGAACCGATACAATGTTTCCAACGGTACAGAAGTGAATTTATCCCATCACGATAAAAAAAAAAATGGGGTTACAGGAGTCGACAAACTGTCGGAAGGCATTTTCTAGACGGATTTTGGTTTACACCTAATGCTATGTATGCATCTCAAGCTCGAAAAAGGCATTAATCGGTAGGGGACAGGTACAATGAATAGGGGGGCAGGTGCAATGAATGGGGGGGCAGGTGCAATGAATAGGGGGCAGGTGCAATGAACAGGGAGGTGGAACAGGAATCAATGCCTAAAAGCATCAGTTTTTACCGGGTGGTTTGTGACGTATGAGGTCGTACGTTATTTTGTAGCAGGATAATTACGTAATTGTTCGCCATTGTTGGCCAAATATTTGCAGGTTTTGATATATCAATTCCAAATCCTGAAAATAGGACTCTGAAGAAAGGTTAAAAAGAAAGAACGAAGGAAAGAGTATCTAAAAGAAAGAAAGAAAAAAGAAAGAAAGAACGCATGGACAACTATAATAAAGAAGGATAAAGAAAAGAAGAACAAATGAAAAGAAAAAAAGAAAAAAAAACAGATTATAGTGGGTTAACCAATCTGTATTGGTTATAAATACAAAGAAAACTGACCCTCTACTATTTTTACTATATTAAATAACACAAAGACATTAACAACAAGAGAAATAATCAAGTAGAAGAATTTGTTCAACAATAAATATTTTTTATAAAACACAACAAATACAAAATATATGATGCTAAAGTTGTTAAAACACTTTAGAGTTCTTTGGTGTGTGATACTGAAAGAATTTAAGTTGCTGAACTGATTGTACGAAAATGAGAAGGTGTAGTTAAATATATTTGTTGTTGTGGGAAAATTAAACAGTTGTTTTTTTTGTATTAAATAGAAAAAAGAGTATTGTTCTTGACTCACTGATTTTTACAGAGTTGTCACTCTTTTACTGGAGATGCTTGTTGTAGAATAGAATATTTTGTGGGAGTGAGCGTTCTTTCGGAAGCTGGATTTATGTTAATTTTAGTAATTAAAGTTAAGCCTGGAATTGGTTGACAAGGTTCATTTTCGTGTTGAAGAATTTGGTTCGTCTCCTTTACTGTGTTGATTTCCAATGAAGTCAAGTGAACAAGTTGAATATTTTAAGGACCCACTGACCAAGTCGCGTCGAAGTTTCGTTTTTATTAGTTCTCTTGGTCACGTGGGTGGATCGTGAACATGTTTACATTTTGTGGCGTCAACTAGAGGTCAAAATTTGGGTCGGTACATTCGGACATAGTTGACGACACCTAATTAATATTTTTTCAGCCAATCAGAATGCATCAGTTGTTATACTTGGTTGGGAGCGCCTCTGTGTGTTTAACTTGCACAAGATTTGAGATTAAAAAAATGTAGGAATCTGATTCTACAAGATAAAAGAAGCAAATATACGAAAGGAAAACAAAATGAAGATAAAAAAAATCTAAGAACAAATATAAAAAAATAAGAAAACCAATTATGACAAAGAGAGAAAGAAAGAACTAAGGAAAGAGTATCTAAAAGAGAATGAAGAAAAACACAGATATAAGAAAGAAAAATAAAGAAAAAAGAATATTAGAAAAAATCTATGGAATAAAACACAGAGAAATTAAAGAAAAAATATAAAAAGGAAGAAAGGCAAGAAAAATGAGAATAAAAATTATGAAAATTATTCCTTGATTTGCTATGCTCAGCCATTGTGGTTGTGATGGAATTTACTTGTAACGTGAAAGAAGAATGGATGGAAAAAATCAGAATCCGTTAATGGACAGTTCCTCATCTTTTCGTTCTTTGAAAGCGTTAGAACGTTTCTAGATTACGAATTGCTGCAACTTCGGCAAACTTTTATTCTGCGTGCCATTGGAAGTGAAAATGTCACTTTATGGAAACACTTTTTCATGTTACAAATTCGACGCAACAATCTGCGATTTTATCGAAATGCAGGAATTTTAATTTCATTTTTCTTTGTATTTCTATTCGGTTAATCGAACTTAATCTCCACGATTTTCTGATAAAAATGTTTTAATCCTATCTTAGTTCATTCCTTCATCAAAGTGTATTTTTTATGACTTTACGCTGCTTTTCAATTAAATTTTGTATTCTATCATAAAAGAACGATTCCGGCTTCGATTCATTAAATCCTCTGAAAAAGTTCCGGTGTCTTGAACTTGTTTTGACCTCAAACCAAACAAGAATTGCATGAATGGATATTCAAGCTTTGCAGAAGAATTTCACATTCCAGATCATTTGTTGCGTTGCATTTGTAACACGAGTGTGTTTCCATAAAGTGACATTTTCACTTCCAATGACATGGAGAATTAACAGTTTGCCAAAGTTGAAGCAATTCGTAATAAAGAATTCCTTTTGTATTTCAACAAAGAGAAGAACTTTTGTATTCCAGAAGATTCTATTTAATCCAAGAAATTGAAAGCGATTTTAAATTGAGTACAGTTTTTTTTCTGCTTACGTTTACATTATAAAATCTTTTCTCATAACCAGCATTATTTTTGCCAAAATTTAATTTCAATACCAGACAATGTCTAGATTGCTAGATCGACCCTTAGGTATCTACTGAAATCAATTCTACACGGACTAGAGTTGTGGGTAACTCAATGTGGACATTCTCGCTGCACTAAAGAATTGGTTAGTAAAACGAGTTTCACTGAATGTTGGTAGACTCGCCCCGGTCTTATTCTTCTTTGGTTTATTTATCTAAACTTACTGATCAGAAATGGTGCCTATATTCTTTGGTGTTCACCAAATTTTGAACAGCAGCTTTATTAAGGAGTCACCACGTGAAAGTAAACATCGCCAAAGAAGAAAATAAAAGAGAACACTTTTCAGTTGGTGCCTTCAAATTTGAAAAAGTTTTCTAATGTGCGGTCTCCGCCGTTTAATTAGTTAGACCATCCCCGCGAAGCACTCTTCAATTAACTAAAAACGTGCCTCACCGAAATGAACGGTTACCTGCCCCCAGCTCATGTTCCCCTTGGGTTGGACTGAATAAGGATTGTTGCTCTATAACTTGATGCCTTTATACGTGGTTTCATCAATCTGTCTATCCTATGTTCCTATCTATCTATCTGTCTATCTACCCTAACATGTCCATATCTATCTATCTATCTATCCTAACATGTCCATATCTATCTATCTATCTATCTATCTATCTATCTATCTATCTATCTATCTATCTATCTTAACATGTCCATATCTATCTATCTATCTATCTATCTATCTATCTATCTATCTATCTATCTTAACATGTCCATATCTATCTATCTATCTATCTATCTATCTACCTACCCTAACATGTCCATATCTATCTATCTATCTATCTGTCTATCTATCTATCTATCTCTCTCTCTCTCTCTCTCTCTCTATATATATATATATATATATATATATATATATATATATATATATATCCTAATATGTTCCTATCTATTTATCTTAATATGTTTCATATCCATCTAACCTAATATATCCCTATCTATCTATCTATCTATCTGATAGCCGAGTTCCAATTTCCGTTGGCTTCTTTATATTCACTTATTTGGGAAAGGCATGAATACACCTCTTCCCCCAAGCTATTGGTTAATTATTAAAGCGTGTATCACTAAACCATCATTCTGCCCACCCCCAATTTTTACAATCTAAACATAGTTTCTGGCTTTGAATAATCTGCAAAGGGTTGATAAGCAGTAAAAAACGAATTAACCAATCTATCTATTCCAGCCAGTTCATATCTAATCCAATAACCTATATATCTATGTTTAGTTGATTATACATACCTACATATACGCGTATATATAAAGAGTGCACCAAAAAATATACCCACTCTTGAGATGACAATAAATTTAGTATTTATTGACTTGTAAACAAGTTTAATGGTTAAAATTAAGAAGATTAACGGTTTAAATTAAACATTAAATGAAATTAAATGCATATTTATAAATATTCAAACTGACGACGAAGTAGAAAGACAAATCTGCTTAGGAATGTTGAAAAAAAAATGAAAAGATATTCTATTATCACAGTGTGTTATATTTAATAACAAAAGTGATTGAAACAAACAGAAATGAAAAATAATTTAAATGAAATCGGTTGAAAACACATTAAAAAAAATAAAAAATAGTTTAAAATAAAAAATAGTTTAAAAATAGTTAAAAAATTAAAACTCCCAGCATCCCTCGTTCGTGCGCATGCGCAGCTGCAACAACGTAAACAAATTCAGTCCGATGAAGTCCTAAAGGACGATACGCGTCACACGAAAACTATTCCATTTTGCCAAACATCTTTCCCCCAAAATTGTTCTTGATATATAAAAATGTATATATCGTTATCCCATATATATATATATTAGGTAACGATATATACATTTTCTTTTATATCGATATATATATATTTTTATATTGATATATAAAAGTATATACATCGTTATCCCATATATATATGTATGTGTGTGTTTGTGTGTGTGTATGTGTGTGTGTGTGTAGGAAAAAAGACAACAGAAAAATTGTATGTAGTTTTTGCCGACGCGTTTCGTCATTGTGGACTTTTTCAACATACAGTTTTCCTATTGTATTTTTTTCCTTTATACATATTGTCATTTTCTTCAGATTAATTATGATAATTTATATATATATATATATATATATATATATATATATATATATACATATACATATATATATATATATATATATATATATATATATATATATATATATATATATATCGTCATCCATCCACAGACAGACACTTTCGCTCATCTGTGTGGCTAGACATCGGATCGCTTAAAGTCGTGATCGAAACCCGACCGATTTGGTATCAGACGGAGATTCCTATTCCTAGACTATCGACGCCCATCATCATAAATACGCCAGTGACCTAGAGAACTCAATCCAGTTTGGAGTATCTTGCATTATCAGCAGTAATAGTGACTGTTTACAAATTCGCGCTTTTCTCCCCACTCGAACGAAATATGGGAGAAAATTATATATATATGTTTATATACCAGAACAATGTTAGGAAAATTCGACTATATCATTACTACAATAAAAGAGCCACTCAAAGTAGAGAATTACTGAATGAAGTGTATGATATGAATGTAAGAGTAGGAATTAAAAATTATTTGTATATGGCGAATTTTAAGGGTAATATTAGCCGTTTCACTATAAAATCTTAATGCAACTTTTTAAGAAACCCAAACTTAACCAATCTAGTAGCTAAAAGATATTTTTAGATTGTAACGAGCTTTTTTTGTGGGTGGGGGGATAATAATGTTTTAGTGATAAGGTCTTGCTAATAAACCCATAGCTAGAGGAGGGAAAGGGTGCCTTCATGCCTTTCTCAAGATTATTTGTGCTTAAGTGAATATAATGAACCCGATTGGAATTGGAACTCGGCTCTCTGATTAAAAATTCCGAGCCATTATTCATTGCACCACCCGCACATCCAAGCTTACGGCGCCCGGTATTCCCAAGCGGCCATTAATCTAGGTACTAACCAGACGTTGGTTCGATGATCGTAAGGGGAACCGATGTTTCAAACGTGATATGGCTGTCATTTGAACTCGGCTCGCTGATTACATTTTTCCGAGGCGATAACCATCACACTTATCTGATATATAAAAACACAGTTATTCAAATTTTGTTCAATAACTTATTTTCTATGAAATTGTTTTTTTTGTTTTTTTTTTATCGCGGGTATATTCATTAAATAATAAAAATAGGTTTCGAATTGAGTGGGCGTACCGAAAAAAAAAGGTACTCACGTATAGAAAAAAATAGGTACTGGTGACTATAACTGCTTATTGGGATTTTGACATGAAACTTTTTAATTATTACTAAATTTGGACTCGTTCTTTATCTTATTTAGAATCCAAGGTACCTATTCACAATTATGGAAAGAGAGTCGCCATCATCTCCTTTCTCTCCAGGGTACCATGAAACAAAGGTTTGGCATGCCACCCTGAGACTTTCCGTTAATGGGACCAAGCAAAATAAAATTTTTCCTAAAGTCGTATTTAATGAAATACCAGCATACGTAACGGCGATTGAATCCCTTGTCGATATCCCAGACAACGCAGGCAATTTGAATTTGGATCCCATGATGGATGCGAGCTTTTCTCGTCCTAATGTTTAAAAGAGAATATTTAAAAATAAAAATTTCTGGAGAAAATAAATGTAAAAAAACATTATCTTTTGTAAAAGATTTGATTTCTCTTCGTTCAAAAAACTGGCTTATTTATCTTCATTTCACGTTTTGTAATTTTCTTTTGGGTTCGACGTTACAGTTTCGTTTTTTTTTAATTACCGACCCAAGTTCACGTTTTCTTAATGACTAACCAAAAGGGTCGATGAACTGATTGTATAGCAATCAATCATTGGCTGAAATTGTTTGCGAAAAGAATTGCCATGAAAATGAGAATGAAGAATTAAATAATGCAGTTTTTATGTGTCTCTTTCAATCATCTATCTTTTCGCGATGTCATTAATGAAATCTGGTGAATGATGACCATTTACAGAATAAAATAAGATGCAGGATACAAATACGTTTGCATGCAACAAAGTAGATAGATAGATAGATAGATAGATTCGTGCGCATGTGTAGACGTGGGAACATCAACAAAGCCCAGTCCGATGAAATCGTAACAGATGAAATGCGTCATAATTTCTTTTCAAATTTGTTATACTATTTTTATAGATAGATAGATAGATAGATAGATATGAACACGCTGAGATAAATAGACTTAGATAGATAGATAGATAGATAGATAGATCGAATCAGTCTAGTATATTTATAAGTTTTCCTTTTGTATCTTTTTTTCGGATATATATATATATATATATATATATATATATATATATATATATATATATATATATTAAAATTGTTATCAGACGGATTTGATGTTGCTGGGCAGAGTACTTTCGAAAATTTCACATTTTCATCCTCAGGGCGTAATTTTTCCATTTACAGGTAAATTCCAAGACGAAATAAATGTCATGTAGAGCGAAAGATGTTTTTTTTTTTTTAAATATGTTATTTATTGAAAGTTGTATCATTTTGGAACGTGCGATGTCGCAACGCATGTGTTCTTGTTTAAATATTTCAAGTGAGAATTTTTTTTTTTTTGAATTTAGTAATGTGGTAAACCCACGAATTGTTTTTGTTGTAGGTGTTTTTCAATTAAAGTGACATGAACTAAAGAATATGTGTGTGTGTGTGTGTGTGTGTGTGTGTGTGTGTGTGTGTAGAGGCCTGTTAGTTGATATGACCTCTCAATTTATATTTGACGCCAAATACCACAAAATATGAAACAACAAGAAGGAACACAAAACGGTTTTATAACAACAACAATATTTATATTTGTATAATGATGTACAATCATAGGGTTTACTATTTTTGTTGGTGTTATGTCCCTTTGACTGACTTAAAGTTTTTACTAATGAAATATTTTTATCCGAGCTCACAAAAGTTGAATGAACTTGCTGCTCAAGATGTTCATTGTGAGAGAGTTGAAAGAATTAAAAAGCTGAGAATATATTAAGTAAACTTTTAGCTTCAGAAGAGTTGAAGGAGTGAATGTTCTATAATGTTTGGAATTAAGTTTCCGTTGCTTGTCATTAAGTTTGTAATGTAGTTTGGAAAGTTCCATACGTACGTGTATGTGTGCGTGTGTGAATATGTTTTCATAGCGTCCGCCTGAACTGGGGATCGGTACGCAGTTTCCTTTAAGGTTACATTTTCGTAGGCAAATGAAATCAAGAAAGAGGAAGAACGAATTCGTGTCTGATATTTACAATCAACGTAATCACATGACAGGCTCGAAAAAGGCATTGACAGATTTTGGCGGAATTATTTTTTTGCCAGGTCAAAAACTAGATCGATGTTATTCGGACATGATTTAAATATTAAGTGACCAATCAGAAGTTGAAGTTTTCTAAAAAAATATGTATGAAGCTGGGTAAGCTCTGTGATCCACTTTTTACACAGATTTGCACAAAATTCAACATTGATACGAAAGTGGTAGCGGGATGCTAAACATGTATGTATGAATGCATATATTAATAATTTCATTCCAAGCAAGGAAATAAAGCCACTAAGACATAAGATATACTGTGTATGAAAGAATATGAGAAATGGAAAGCATTATTAAGGAGAGAGCTAACGATTGACATTGTATTTAAATTCTTGAAGATCAAAGTTGACTGGAAAGCAAGAAGCCGGACGGGAGTTCCACAGACGAGACGTGGATGTGAAAAAACTGTTAACATAAAACATACGATTGCCAATTTCAGCTTTAAAATAATGAAACGTTTCCCGCCAATCTCGTACTGCGCTTAAATTCGTAAAGTCTCGGGAGCATAGAAGAAAGTTCATAAAAAGAATTACCATAAAAATATTTATGGAAAAATACGCAGGAAAGGTATGTTACAGAGGTGGGAAAGTGACTGAAGTCAAGATGCCAGATCAATATCAATAATATTGCAAATTCTTCTTTGGATTTTTTCAAGATTCTCTAAATACATAGTGTGGAATATTGGTTGGCTTGCAAGTGGTTTGTCACACAAGTAAAACTGGTGTAGCCACCAAGTTGAAAACTCGCCCTGAGTCATTTAATGGAGAGATATATGGGTGAATATAGACCATTCATGCCAATGTGTTAGGCAGATCCATTCCAGCAAAATAAACCAACCCACCTGCTGCATTAGATACTCTCCTATAAATGAGGTAAAATTAGCTGGCTTGCCTTTACAAAGGGACACAAGAAGGCAGCCATGTTAGCAGGTAAGTCATTTGACTTCTACACATAGCAGAAGCACCTGTCCAGTGACAGCAATATTCAATGCTTGGAAGGATACTTATAAAAATCCCAGTCTAATCTAAAGAAGAGTGTTTATCCTGTTGGTAAAAAATTTCATCAACAGCAGATATGACGTCATCATCACCGCGATACTAATTCGCAGCCAAGTGTTGTTTTTTATGTTGGAGGACAACATTAGAGAATTATCAAGACAAGTTAACGAAATCTGAGATATCCAAAGGCATGGTACGTGGAATTAGAATAATCAATCCCATGTGGACGAAACAGAAGGTTCGGTTCGAAATTCTAACAAATATAATCTGAAGAAGGATGGAACGTACAACGACTGAAACATTGTCAAAACAATGTAAATAGTGTAAATAGTAAGGATCTATTTATCTCGTGAGATAAAAGTAGTGGCCTGTTTGGTCAAAATTGAGTCATATGGGCAATGGTATATAGAGGCTCTGCACTGCCCAAACTACATGCCCCGCCCTTTCTCAGCTGTACTGACATCTTGACTGTTCATCTCTTGGTCAAAAAAGTCATCAACAGCAGATATGAAGTCATCATCACCGCTATATTAGTCCCCAGCCAAATTTTTTTTTCATGTTGGGAACAGATGATAGTCAAATTCAGAGAATAGAGACGGCGATCAACCATTTCAAAACCACAGTCCCCCACAGCAGCCATTGGAGCACTGCTTTTTGTTGTTTTTTTGTTTTTGTTTTTTTTATTTTTTTGTTTTTTTAAGCATTTCACCCCAAGCAAGGCGTGACTGCCACTAGCACGCAAGGGTTTACAGAAAGTGAGAGCAAGAGTAAAGAGGGGGTTGTTTGAAGAAAGGATAGAAAGAAGGACGGGGATCAGGATCAAGGCATCAGAAGATGTCGATTGACATTACATTTGAATATTTGAAGATTATAGCTATAAGGGAAGCAAGTAAGAGGAAGGGAGTTCCACTGTCAGGAAGTGCGAGAGGATCCGTTGGAGTACATGAGGCGGTTACATTTAACTGTTTCGACAGTGAAAGTGTGGGACCGAAATGCCAACCTAGTAGCACGCTTAAATTCATGCAGTTGGGGTACCAGTAAAAATAGTTCGTCAGAGCAGTTGTCATGAAAATATTTGTAGAAAAGACAGAAGAAAACCACATCACGTCTGTGAGAAAGTGACTGTAAACGAGATTGCGTCTAGATTGAAACAGCCTGTCGCCTCTGAGTGTTGACTTCAATGTTCACTTTTATATTTATATTTACATTATTATTATTTACTAAGAAATAGTCTAATTTGTTGGTATTTAAAGTGGTTAGGAAAGCCATTGTTAACTAGTCTATATATATATATATATATATATATATATATATATATATATATATATATATATTTAGGATTTTGTGTGGGTGTAATAAATCAGATATAAATAAAAAAAAGATCTGTAAAAAAAGACAATATGAATAAAGATAAAGGGATAATTTCACTTTACCAACGCGTTAAAGTCCATTGATAAAGTCCCTCAGAAGACGAAATTATTAATATCCCACTTTGGATCTATCTATCTATCTATCTATCTATCTATCTATCTATCTATGTTCGTATCTATCTATCTATCTATCTATCTATCTATCTATCTATCTATCTATCTATCTATGTTCGTATCTATCTATCTATCTATCTACAAATTCTTTTTATCAAAATTTATAGTCGTGCATTTAATGTTCTGTAATAAATATTTCTACAACGCAAGCGTCTATTTTTGTTGAAACAAAATCACTGTATTCTTCAAATCACGTATAAGATCTTTGTCTTTTTTCCACTAAAATTAACGTTACTTAATAACTCTTCCGCTGATAGGTTTTAAAGAATGAATAAACATCGAAACTTTTGTTTGTGAATCAAATCGTGACACTTTCCGGGTATGTTTTTCGGAGTAACATTCATTCACTGAAATTTCCCCCGTACATGCCTATCTCTTTATTTGCATGTATTTATATGCCTTCGTATGTTGTCGGTGTACAGAAAAATACCTAGAATCAAAAACTGAACGAAAAGTATAGCACATATATTTTAAGGTAAATATTAACTTTCTTCTGCAGGATTTGAACACACAGACACAAACACGCGCGCGCAGGCGCACTCGTACATCCAAAACACAAAGATGACATTCGGAAAAAAAATGTTTGTATCATATGTATGTCAGCTGACGAAAATAAAACTTATGTTAAAAATAATTTCTTTCAATCTTGGTGCCATGTTTGCCTTACGGGAGATTTTCTAAATTATTTTTATCCATTTTTCTTTTTGCTATTTTGATTATTTCAAATAATTTGCTTTTGTTCTTCCCCTTTTGGAGGCTGGGGTCGTGCTTTCCTTCCTTCCTTCCTTCCTTCCTTCCTTCCTTCCTTCCTTCTATTCTTTCCTTCTTCATATCCTTCATTTCTTCCCCCTTTTCTTCCTTCTTCTCTGCTCTTCATCGTTCCTTGCGTTCCTTCCTTCCTCTGTTCTTCATACAAACAGCTGCTTGGTGGAACTGACTCCCAAAAGGATGCTTCCCTGATCACTACAATCTTAACCTGTTCAAGTTTAACGTTAACTGTCATTTTCTCAATATTGTCGTATAAACTGTGTACTCTGTAACCTTCTACATCGAGTGGATCCCGAGCCTTGTACATCATTGTAAAAATCATTCACTTCTACTTAAGAAAATAAGACAAACAGATAGATAGATAGATAGATAGATAGATAGATAGATAGATAGATAGATAGATATGAACTTCCTGAGATAGATGTAAAAAGGCCGAGATATATATATATATATATATATATATATATATATATATATATATATATAGATAGATAGATAGATATAAAAGGTCGAGATAGATAGATAGATAGATAGATAGATAGATAGATAGATAGATAGAAAAAGGCCGAGATAGATAGATATGAAAAGGCCGAGATAGATAGATAGATAGATAGATAGATAGATAGATAGATAGATATGAAAATGACGAGATAGATAGATAGATAGATAGATAGATAGATAGATAGATAGATAGATAGATAGATAGATAGATAGATATGAAAAGGCCAAGATAGATAGATGGATATGAAAATGCCAAGATAGATAGATACTAAAAGGCCAAGATAGATAGATAGATAGATAGATAGATAGATAGATACTAGTGTAAATTTGAAGAATAGTAACACTTTCATCCTTTTACGTTTTTCCGACATTACTGTTTACCATAAAAAAAAGCATAATAATGTTTATTTACCGATTGATCTGGAAATATTTCGCCAAAGCCGTGACCGTTTTAGATTCTGAATGTCAAAAACAAACAGAACTGCAAGAAAGAAATGATTTTTTTTCTCATTGACTTCTAACCACACAAAATGAAAAGAAAACAAATTATTTTTCACGTTAGAAAATAAAGAAAATTCATTTGCTTATGTGTCTACGTGTTTGTTTGTTTAATTCGAGTCTCTCCCTCTCTCTCTCTCTCTCTCTCTCTGTGTTTGTGCGTGTGTGTGTGTGTGTGTATACGAGTCTTTTCTGAATACTGAAGCAAGATTTAATCTCAAACTCGCCTTCTGAATTGATAAAACTTTCATGACGCCAATTCCTGCCATTTTAAGCACAAGTACTCCCATTTTTTAAAACTGTAGTTATTTATTTATTTTTTAAATTTTGTTGCTGTTATTGTGGCTGTGTAAAACTTGACAAAAATAATGTTGCATCGTTTGTGTCTTTTTAAATATTTTTTTAATTTTGCTTCGTTGTGTTTTTGAAAGAATTTTCACTGAAAAACCTACGGAATATCTTATACTACAAACATGTAAACTGAAACGATAGAAATAGCAATATACGCGGCCTGTCAGAGAAATAGTTGTTCATTCAATAATAAAGAAAAAGCAGCCTACCAAGGAAAATGGCGCCTTAGTCCGCTTTAATGTATTTCCCGTAGAATCTCAAACGCTTGGCTCGACATCGTTTTCACTTTCTAAAACAATCTACAAGACCATCAATTATCTCTTTGCGTTCTCCGTAACCTCGTCCACGATATAGAGCGTTTCGGGCTGTTGAACGTGTGTGATGTGATGGTCTGCAAAAATACCCCACACGAGGAATGAAGAATCTACTCGCCCGCCATTGTGATGCGATGGGTAGCATCAATCAATGGAGTCTCACCCCACGTGATAATGTTAACTCAAACACAGTGGGTTCCTCGATCGTCTGGTGGCCAAAGGGTGCCCAATCTTTGTAATCAGTTCTCGAATTCTTCAAAATGACTGGATCTATTACGGACAGATCTCGCACTTAAGAAAGCTTTTGAAAGTAGCACATTGTTTTCGGTTCCTAAATTTTTAAAAATGGCAGAAGCTCAATTTATAACACAAGCTTATACGAGAAACGAGTCTAGTGAGTTAGCTCCCCTGGCACAGACCATTTGTTATATAAAAGATACGGTGCTATCAACAGCAGCTATTAACAGCAGCAACAGCCTACCGGCGCCTATATAAACTGTCCGAGAAACTTTCTTTTCCTTCGCCTTGAGTTGGCAATGTAATACTTTTATTGTTTCTAATGTAAACATGTTGACTCTCTGGTCAACGAAAAGGGCACGTTTCCACAATCAAAACTTTGTGATTTTATTCCTATGTAATAAATGTTTTATAAGATTTCAGCCTGTCTTGCATTTTGCTTTCGTTTTGTTGAAAACTTATCGAGTGGTATTGACACGTCCTTGCGAAATAAAAATATCGCTTCACTATGAAAATTTAAGGAGCATAGAAACAACACCGAAACAGTTGATAGCAAGCAGAAAAAGGCAGTTGAAATTTGGGAACATATTATGAGAAAATAAGCTTTAGAGAACTTAATACTCAAAGGGCGCAACGAAAGCAAGAAAAGTAGAAGAAAATTTGACAAGTTTGTAAAGTGATAGCGAAACAAGTGACACAATGACCAAAAAAAGGAAGGAGTAAAAATTACTAAGAGCAACAAAAAGACAGGACACTGTGAAGAGCCATGATCTCTCACGTCTTCAAGATATGCAAATAGAATTATATATATATATATATATATATATATATATATATATATATATATATATATATATATATATATATATATATATATATATAAAAGTGAACATTGAAACCAACACTCAGAGGCGACAGGCTGTTTTATGCTAGACGCAATTGTCAGGCCGCGATTGCGTCTAGCATAAAACAGCCTGTCGCCTCTGAGTGTTGACTTCAATGTTCACTTATATATTTATATTTAAATACGCTCTATCTCTTTGCCTCATAAATATAGCACTTCTTAAAACTATATTTCTTCATATATGTGTGTGTGTGTGTGTGTGTGTGTGTGTGTGTGTGTGTGTGTGTGTGTGTGTGTGTGTGTGTGTGAGTGAGTGAGTGAGTGAGTGAGTGAGTTGGGATCAATACATATAGATCAAATATGGATTGGAATCCGACCGAATGATAGGATAAAGAACAAACAAAAAACGTTTATCAAATTTGATTTTAAAAATGCCACCCTAATTAAAAAAGAAGGTAATTATTTACAAAGGAAGTTCTTCGAGAGCCTACTAAAAACAATATTACCAACTATAAACACACGTCAGAAACATTATAGTACATCGCCAAACTTTATTGAATCCATTTTTAAAGAATCTAATAAACGGCATGCGAAAGCCACAAACACAATGTCTACTAAACACACACACACACACAAACACGCACTCACAAACACATACACACACTTACAAACACACACGCACAAATACACATACACACTCACAAACAGACACACACTCACAACACACACATACAAACACACACACAAACACACATACACACCCACAAACACGCACTCACAAACACATACACACACTCCCAGACACACACGCACAAATACACATACACACTCACACATACAAACACACACACACACACTCACAAACACACACACACACACTCACAAACACAGACACTCAAACACATACACACACGCACACACACTCACAAACACATACACACACGCACAAACACACACTCACAAACACGCACTCACAAATACACATATACAAACACACGCACACTCTCAAAATACACACACCCAAACACATACATACACACTCACAAACACACACATACTCACAAGCACACACACGCACAAACACGCAATCACAAACACATACACACACACTCACACACACGTACAAACACACATACGCACTCACAAACACACACATACACACACACACTCACAAACACACACATTCAACCACACACACACTCACAAACACACACAGTCAAACACACACACACTCACAAACACATACATACACACACAAACACACTCACAAACACACACAGTCAAACACACACACAGAGACCTACGAATATACATTATCTTCTAAATCCCACATAGACAAACTAGAACCTCGTGCTATAGTTGGGATCAGGATGGTTGCCGCTCCTGATATAATTTTGATTGATTTTTTGAGCCGGAGTAGCTGGAGGTGGGGGGGAGGGTAGCATAAGAGATGGCTCATGCAATAATTAGTATTGCGTAAGAACAATAGTATATTAAAATGTACCAATTTTCGAAGGGTCAGTTTATTACTAAATAACAATAGAAAAATGATACCCCAATTTACGGCCAGTAGAATCTTACATTCATACTAGGGCATCTATTACATTCAGACCAGGATGGTGACACTCCTGATAATATTCACTCTATGAATTTTACAATTGCTAACCTCGGTGCAGTAGGGCTTTTCTGCATAAGACGTTTGGCTTATGCAATAATTTATTTCGTGTAAGACAAATGATGGTAGTAATATGTTGCATTTTGAGTGATATCGAATGAATATTCCAATCTAACTTTTTATTCCAAACTAGCCGTTTATTCCAATCTACCCTTTTAGTCCAACCTACCTTTCTATTCCAAACTTAGATGAAAGAAGATATGAAAAGCAGTAACTTATAATTAAATAGAATAAATATATAATGATTTACTATAGGTACCTCCAAAGATTCGCTAAAAAAATGAGCATAACATGATGAAAAAATGCCCAAAACTTAATAAAAACAAAGTTTTATCGACAAAATCTTTATGTTATTGTTAAAAGAAAAGACCAGAGGTTTTCTTTTATGATTAAATTATATTTTTAATTTTTTTTAGTACCTTTATAATTTTGGTTAAAATTTTGTTTTTCTTGTGTCAACGGGTAGCCATAAATTAGTATAGAGAAATTTAGCGTCGTTTTGCAGTAAAAACGCATTAATTTGAAAATTCTTGCAAAAATCAGATTTTGTAGTATTTTAATGAAATTTTCAGGACATATTCACAAATTAATGAAATTATTTTGGAAACGTTCTCTTTGAGAAAATCTTACTAAAAATATATTTTTACATCTGCCCTCCACCTCCGCACACACACTTATTTAATTTTATGAAGTTTCGAGAAATTCATTTTTGCAGTGCTTAATGTTTGTATTAGTTATAAGCACAAGTCCTTGGTGAATTTAACTTTTTCAT